TATGTGGGACTCGGCCTCAGGATGGACAGAGAAGTGGTGCCTCGATGCGCACCCGGGATCCGAACCCGGGCCGCCAGCATCGCAGCGCGCGCACTTAACGACCAAGCCACAGGGCCGGCCCAAAAAATTATTTTCTAACATACATTATATTTCTTCTGGTCCTAAGAAAATGAGGCTTATTTATTTACAAACTGAAAATTGTAATACTATAGTGAAGTCTTTGTATGGCTCAAGAATGAAATATTTAAGAAATAAAGGTATGGAAAGAACAGGACTTTGTCTAAGAAGTCTTGAGATCAAGCACTAGTGTTGCCATTTACTATATGACTCTTAGGAAGTTACTTAACTTCTCAGGGATTGTTTCTTGTAAGGTTTTTTTCATCCTAAAAACGATATGATTACTTATGGTGTCTGATATTCTTCAGTGCCTCTCTCTCTGTATGTATATGTATATATACACACACATACATACATATATACATATACATCCTTTATTAAATAATAGAGACATTTTTAAAGTCGTAGTAACTTAAGGCCCATTATGAAACAAAGAGAGTGTGTGTGTGTTGGTTGCTCTGACCCTGAACATCATTCTCAGTAGTCAGGACATTTTCATAGCCTTGTGACACCTGAATTAACCAAGTAAGCCTTTAAACCCTTACAATGAAACATTAAAATTCAGTGTGGCTATAATCTCCTCCTTACAAAACACAGACCCAAAGAGTATGGCTTTAAGTATGGTTTAAAAAAAAAAAAGGTGAAATGTATTATATTCACCACCCAGCTCTTCCATATGACCACATTAAAAAAACAAACAAAAACTCACGGGCCCATTGTAATACACTGTACCACTTCTGAATGAAACACTTAGCTCAGGCTTACTACCCTGACAAATAAAGGAAAGCACTTTATGAAGCCAATTTAATTGGGAGGTGACAGAAAACATACAGCCATTTTCTTTAGCCTTATCATGGAATTGGCTTCAGCTCCAATCTCTGGCAAATCCCACTCAACAGAAGAAATTAACCAGGTCAGCAGAACAGGTGCTACGTTGTATCTGTCAAGGGCCTGGCATCGCCACAATTACTTGCACACAATGAAGCAGTAATCTTTACAGATCATCTCTCCCAAGAAGCATACTGGGGACCAAGAGGAAAACTGAAGGGAGGCGGGGGAAAGTGGGAAGAAGACGAGGAATAGGAGGCAAAGAGAAAAGGCAAGAAAAGAAAATGAATGTGCAGCTGCCTTCCAGCTCAGCAGATGTCGGGATGTGATGTACGAGGCTAGGATAAGCTGTCGTAGCCTGCTGCCAAAGAGTGGTAAGTGATTAAAGCCTGCACAGTTCTAAGCACCATATTTAGAATCTGCGGGGTTTCAAGACTCGCACCCATTCCTTGCTGTGCTGCCAGATGTTGGCAACTGGTCCAGTTCCTACTGACTGTGCATGGATGGCAGCAGTTGGTACAGCAGCAAAGCAATCTGGAATTCTTCCGGAGATGCTGTACATTAACAAGTGTCACCCATCATTCACCTTTACAGAAGGCTGAAACAACTCCAATTTGCTGCCACTTCCCCCTTGGGAAACAGCCAAGATAAAGTTGCGCCTGGCAGCCCCATTTGTTTCACTCAGGTGTTTCAGCTGCCTTGCTGACCTCTATTAGTTTAAGTTTTAATTTAGATTAACCCCAGCACCCCAATTAACCAGCAAGGGGAAAAGCTAAGATGTGACTAGCCATAACTCTGAAATCAGAATTTATCGAAGTTAAAATTATTAATTGGGATGAAGGGCCAATCAAGCAATGCTATTTCTTTTTAAACAGACCTCCAGGCCAAAAAAAAAAAAATAATAATCTTTTAGACTAAGGATTGCCAGTGGAAGCAACTTCTCCCCAGTAATTTCAGTTTATTTTATTAAGGCTATTTAATTTATGATGCACTTTCCATCGAACAATGTACATTTCAATTAATAAAGACTGAAACATTTTTGATTGTCTCCCATGATCTCACACAATTATATAACATTAATATCCCATATCAGGTACTTCCTTAGACACTCTAGAACAAAATAGAGTTCCCAACTCTTCTGACAAATGGATATAATAAGAGAAGAAAAGGAAAAAAGAATCAGGACCTCTGACTAGGAATACCTGAGGCCACACCAATCCTCTTTCCTATACCCTCTCACTGTTACTTTTAAGACTTACGGCAATAATTTTATTGAACGTTATAGAGTGAATAGAAATATTAATAGAAAGTCTCTTTCTTTTTTTAGGGCAAAGCCTATAGAGGTATCCCCTATATAGAATCACTTGTACTCCTGGCTTCACAGTGTAATTTTCCTAAGTTCCTTCCTTCATATTCCATATACATAATATAGCTGTCATGGCTAAACCTTCACAAGCAGTCGCAAATTCTTTACCAAAAGTTAACACACTAAAAATTCAGCAGAGATAAAAAATTATCTTGATAAATAATGGCTCAACAAAAACTGGTATATCACTGCTGAACAGCACCCTCGATTCTCCAGAGCTAGAAAGGGTACATCCTAAAGTACATTTCATTAAGTATGACTTATCAGGAGACCCAGGATTACAGGAAATTATTTTAGTTCTTTAGAATAGCCCAAATGTTTAGTCTACCTTAACAGTCACCTGAATCATTAAAAAGAGCAGCATGCCAGCAGATAATAATGTCAGGGAAAGAAGTGGGGGATGTTTTGTGAAGAGATATTGAGAACTGGGCCATATTTCAACTTCTACCAATTCTTTCTGTCTTCAAAGCACTACACTATTATTATAATCAACAGTAGCAGACAATCAGACATACTTAACTGATTTGAACAGGCACAAAAAAACATTAAAGACAAGAGACTTAATAGGTAATAGAACTAGAAGTGCAATTCAAGAACTCTGGGATCCCAGTCCTTGAGCTCCATATCCCAATCTTATAGTAATAGGACAAGAAACCAAATAACTAACAAAAAGTCCTCCATTAACATCATCAAAAATGGCTGAGAAAGAATAAACCACCTGACACAAAGAAGTCGAAACTGTTTCACAGATAATTTACACTCTGTAGCAACTAACAAAGTAGCCACGGGCTGTTTTCATTTCAAAAGGAAAAATATAAGACAGAAGAAAAGCAACAGATGCAGAACTACACAGTAAGGCAATTGTGAACACAGGAGTTCTAACTCCCTGTCTGACTCTATCCTCCTTCCAAATTAAGCTACCTTCTGGTCAGAGAATTCTATTAGCTGTTTTAAAATGCTAAAGCCTAATTCGTAACAAAAGAGTGTAAAAATCACACCTGGTGGTAAAAGTCATCATCATCAAAGATTTCTTCATCCAAGTCCTTCAGGTGGGCATTGGCAGGGGCTTCAGGAAGGATCTCCTATATCAAGGGAGAAGAAAGGAATGAGTGAACCCAATGGGGTTATCAAAGTAATGTAGCTACTATAAATAATGTGTATAACAGTCAAAGCACTGTTTTCCTTAAGACATAAAGAGCTCTCAAAATCAAAGAACAAAAATAGTCCAATCAAAAAATGGGCAAAAACATTAACAGGCACTTGACAGAAAAAGAACCACAAACAGTCAGTAATCATATGAAAATACGTTTAACCTCATTCTAATTAAATACATGCAAATTAAAATTAGAAGACATCATTTTTCACCTCTAATATTGGCAACACTCAGTATTGGAAAACACAGCTGGTGGGACAGGAAATTAATGCAGCCTTTTTGGAGGCAGTTTGGCAACATCTATCAGGATTTAAAATGTGTCTTCTCTTTGATTTAACATTTCCACTTCAAGAAATCTATCCATATGTTCACACAAATACACAAATATAAATGCTCAGGAATACTTCCTGTAGCACTGTTTCTAAAACTGGAGACAACATAAATATCCATTGTTTGAATAAATTATAGTACACATCCATACAATGAAATACTCTGTAGCCAATAGGAAAAATGAGGCAGATCTCTATGTAATGATATGGAAAGGTGTCTAGGATATATTAAATTTAAAAAGTAAGTTGCAAGATTTTATATATAGTTTATATATATATATATATATATAAAAGTAAGTTACAATATTTTATATAGTTATACATACACATACTTATCCATCCTATTTAGTCAAAAAAAAAAGAGACAACCATATTTTTATATGTGTTATATGCAAATATATATATATATATATATAGTTATAAGAATAGAAAATACCTGAAAGCTTGTTACAACTATGAAGATTGGTTGAATGTGAGGAGTGGAATTTTCAGACTAAGGGGAATTTTACTTTTCATTTTAAATTCTTCTGAACTTAAAAAAATTATTAAGTACATATTTCTTCCATAAATAAAAGAGTTTCCTTTAAACAAAAAAATTTGACTATTCCAATTTTGGATCCCTTTCTGGAGTATTTAAACATCCAACATAAAGCCTAAAGTACATACTTGCTTCAATACTGACATTTCTAAAGAAGCAGCTTTAAAACTGAATTTAAAAAATTGGATTATGAATGCTTCCATCACCAGACTCATATCAAACTCAAAATTAGAGAAGACTACACACAAGTTAATAGCTCCATTCTTTATAAACTTTCTCCTCCTACATACTCCCAGTTTCTCCACAATCTAGTAAAGTACGTAGTATTTTTTTCCTTTCTTTCACTAACTCCTTATACCAAGAGTAATACCCACAAGTAGGTGATCTGATTCTTCAGTTAATTAGCCTCATAGAAACTGCTCCCCATAATCACCCTACAACACAGAGTTCTTACCGGTTGTCCCGGCAAATTCTCTGGGACAGGCTGTGCTGTCGGTTCAGGTTTGCCGAGAACTCGGTAGACAGAGCGCTTGGTCTGTGTCCTTCGAAGTAATCTTTCTTTGTCCATCAGAATATGATCGATCTGAGTCAAGATTGAGCGTTCAAAGGCACCAAAACCCTGCAACAACATTAACCAGTGTCAGATAATGCAGAAAGTCTGTACTGAAGGCAGCTACATTGGTTTCTCTATCTTTCTGTGTCAGCAGAGAAAAAGACAATTCTCCTTTCAGGAGGGACTTTCTGTTAAAGACTGCATTTGTGAATGGCTGTAATTGTTCTCAGAAAAAAAAAAAATTAGTTTTAAGCAGGTCATATTACTTTCCTATACCCAGAGATTAACTTCTGCTCCTTTAATAATAATTGTTTTAAGATCCATTTCTTTAAAGTAATTTGTTATTTCCAACACTTGAATACTTACAAGGCCACAATTTCCAGAATAAAATATTCTTTCTAACATAGTTAAAATCCTAAGTCTGAATGGTATAAACCCCAATGGGAGGAGTTCAGTAAATTTTTCTACAGAAATGACTGATTACCATTATATCATGACATCATCCATATAAACAAGCTACAGTTTCAATTTCTTATAACTGCTTCAGGTTGCCACAATCTATATCTTACACATACACACACAAACACACACACACACACACACTTGCCTTCCCCAGTTTTCCAGAAGCCAGCTTAGTTTTATCGTGCCACTTCTGAAGTGTGCGGTTTCTATAGACTGTGAAGTCAGCAAAGCGCTTTGCCATGAAGCTGGGATAGTCATCCATCTCCAGCTTCCTCTTTGGTGGGGCCCTTCTCTGCTTCTTCTTCTCTTCTACTAGCTCTTCATCTTCACTGGAAATCTCCTCCTCACTAGAAAACCAATAAGAACATTAAGTCCAATGTAAATAAACATTAGCTAAATAAAAAGCGAGGCTCACATGAAGTTGAGAGTATTTAGGCATTTCTTATTCTGTCTACATTTTAAATAAGACCACAGACGTGAGGATGGCTTTTTTGGTTTGAAAAGAATGTTCACGAGGTCAATCAAAAACTTATGTAACTTTTCAAATAAATATAAAAATAACTGGTTTCAAAATATTTTTTAAAAGGTCAGCAAACCATAAAAATAAATGAGGTTGTAAAAACATTATTAGAAATGCATATGAACCAGGCCTGTACTGTTACAAGAGGGTCTTTAAACATTAAACACATAATCATACTTTTATGACATTAATCCCCAAATCAATAAGGGAGATGTGTCTCCTTGTAACCAATTGTTCAGGAAAGCTGAATAATATTAGTCGAACCAAATGAAGAGAAGCTGAGTAGGAAGAAGACTCAAAGGGGTAAGCAACAGAATCTGTGTTAAACTGCAACATATGCAACTGACATGAGAAAGTAATACAGCTTCCAGCTATACAACCAACTGCACTCACTGGACTACCGACTCCATCACACAGTAGGTCCTCAATAAATGTCAGCTTACTGTTTATCCCTCCAACTGATTCAGTAGAAAAGAAGGGAGCAAAGGATAAGCCCAAGGGAAAATAGCAAGCAAGTAATCGTATACAGCAGGCTCAAACAAAGGGATGGGGGTGGGGAATTCTTCATCCAAGGTGATAATTTCAGTAAAGAAAAAGGTTTACTCTGATGTTTTATGAAATCTTTCCACCCTTCAAAGTAACTGCTTCTTCCCTCACTGAAAAGGTGATGGTTGTGACCAGTGATTCCAGGGTATGGGCACAAAGCACTTCATAAACATTAATTAAGCATTAATACTAAAAATATACTTTAATCTACTAATTTCAACAGATCTAAAGAGAAGGCAAGTCTTTTGCTGAAGCCCAGAAAGAGAACTAGGCATAAGTATAAAAATCCAAAACCTAATTCCCAATTTATGTGCCATCCTCGCCACCAATTAAACGTAAGAGGCTCTTTCTATTTTACTATTTACTCTTTCTATTTCTATCAGACTAACATTAAGTCTGATACCTCCCTGGAAGGATTTGGCTTTCTCTTTCATAAATGATGGGAAACTATTCAAATGAAAAGACAATCGGGGGGGCCGGCCCAGTGGCACAGTGGTTAAGTGCACGCACTCCGCTTCAGCGGCCCGGGGTTCGCGGTTTCAGATCCCGGGCGAGCGCCAAGGCACTGCTTGTCAAGCCATGCTGTGGCAGCGTCTCATATAAAGCAGAGGAAGGTGGGCATGGATGTTAGCCCAGGGGCCAATCTTCCTCAGTAAAAAGAGGAGGCTTGGCATCGGATGTTAGCTCAGGGCTAATCTTCCTTGTCAAGCCATGCTGTGGCAGCGTCTCATATAAAGCAGAGGAAGGTGGGCATGGATGTTAGCCCAGGGGCTAATCTTCCTCAGTAAAAAGAGGAGGCTTGGCAACAGATGTTAGCTCAGGGCTAATCTTCCTCACCAAAACAAAACAAACAAACAAACAAAATTTAATACTCAGTAGTCAAATAGGCAGAAAAAAACGCTATCATAACTTAGATTTTCCCACATCATATTTCAGCTATCAAATAACTGGCCC